ATGCAACAATCATGGTTATTATGGATAAACTATCCAAATTTGCTTATTTTATTCCAATGAGGTAGGATTTTTCCAGCAAATCCGTGGCTGAAGCCTTTATTACTCAAGTGGTGAAGATACATGGAATTCCAAAATTTATTGTTTCAAATAGAGTCAGGGTCTTTATTAGTTCATTCTGGCAGCACTTGTTTAAATCTCAAGGAACAACATTGTCAATGGGATCTTCTTACCATCTTCAGTCTGATGGTCAAACCGAGAATCTAAGCAAGACACTAGAGATGTATTTGAGATGCTATGTATATGAAAATCCCAAGTCTTGGGTCAATATGCTACCTTGGGCACAGTATTGGTATAATACTTCTTTTCATCATAGTGCAGGCATGACTCCGTTTCAAGCTTTGTTTGGTAGGCTTCCTCCTCAAATTGTGAGATATGATCATGATCCTAAAGATCCCATCTCCATACAAGAAACATTGAAAGATAGGGATCAACTATTGTTGCAATTAAAAGCAAATTTGTTGAAGTCTCAAAATTATATGAAGTAGTAAGTGGACAAAAGAAGGAGAGATATTTAGCTGGATGTAGGAGATTTTGTATTGGTTAAACTACAACCGTACAGGCAACAATCTTTAGCATTACGGAAGCATTAGAAATTGGGTCTCAGGTTTTTTGGACCTTTTGAGGTGATTCAAAAGATTGGTTTTGTAGCATATAAATTGAAGTTACCAGAGACAACTAAAATACATCCTATTTTTCACATTTCTTTGCTCAAGAGGTTTCATGGTAAATTAACATAACAATATGTACCATTATGATGGAGTAGGTTGAAGCAATGGAAGTGTTCTTGCTCCTTTTGACCTTCTCCGAATGTGAAACCTTCCTAGCTTTAGTTCTAGGAAATTCTCCATTCCTAAGCTTGAAAGTGAGCTTTCATTTGAATCTTTAGCTTGGATGATTTCATCCTTAGCCTAGGAATTCTCTCTACTGGTTCACTCTTCTTCTTCAATACAAATGAAGAATAAAAGACACTCAACAAGTGGTGGTGTTGATTGTTGATTCAAAGCTTATGAGCTGAGTATCAAGGTTGAGGTTGTCATACAACGAACTTCTAGGGATCCTTGTTCTTCTTTTTCCTTCCCATTTTTGAGTGACTCAAGGTAACATAAACTTGTTGTTTAATCTTCTAAATTGTGAGTGTTGGTTTTACTTTATTGATTCATGCTTTGGTAAGCATTTAAGTTGGAATTGAAGATTATAAATTTTGGCTATTCTTGTTCTTGGTGTTCTTGGTGAAGGATAAAGGAATTGATGATCTTGTAGTGCATTATTGTTGCATGATGCATTTTCTTCAATTTATGAGTTGTATGATGCTGGTATGTGGTGGATTTTGATTTGTATGATTGATTTGTGGTTTTGGATGAGAGGATTTGAGTTGTTTCCTTAAGATGCTAAAATTTTCTTGATCATACATATTTTTTTTTGGCTTTGTTCGCTTAGAACGTCCATGGCATCACTCAAAGTGAGCGAGTGCAACCATTTCAAGGGTAATCTTTGACTTAGCTCACTTAGAGTGCTCAGTGGAGCTCTTGAAGAAAATTTAGGAGGCTCGAAGTGAGAACTCACTCTCTTAAGCGAGCTAGTGCAACCATTTCATGGGATGTCTTTGACTTGATTTGTTTGGAGCCCTCAATGGGGTGCTTGAAGCAAATTTCATTCAATTAGAGCAAGACGGCACACGCTTAAGCGAGCTGATCATCCCTTATAGGGATTCTCTCTGTCTAACCTCGCTTAGAGCGAGCTTTAGGGTGCTTAAAGCAAATTCTATTTGCTCAAAGCGAGTTCATCAATGCTTGAAGTGCTTGTTTCTCATTAAAAACTTGTAATGTTCTTAATATACCATGCTGAGTTGATTGTTTACGTGATGTATAATGATAAATTGAATTTAGTTCATTAAATATTAACATAAGATAATGTATGATGATGATTTAAGTTAATTATATGGAAAGTTATTTATTGTTTGGAGTTGATGAAGTAAATTGTTTATTCTTTTAAATTGTATGAGGTAAATTGTATGATGTCAAGTGTGTTAGATATGTGATGCATATTTTAAAGTTGAAGTTGCATAAAAATTAGAGGAGAGAAAATTTGTTTTAAAATATTTAAATATTCCATTGTGTGCAGATATCAATTATTGTGCTCAAAAAGACCAAAGTTGAAAAATCTTTAGTGAGTAAATTGCCTCTTGATTGAAAAGTTTTTTTTAAGTTGTCTCCTCTAGGTTATTCAGTTGAAATAGTGGAGGTCAAACCATACTTGTCATAATTGGTCATTGAGTAAGGTAAAGGTCAAGGGTGAAAATTCCTAACTAAGTACTAGAAAGGTGTGCAATATTTGAATGCTAGTTTGCAAACTAATTCCACATAGGTTTAGTTATGTATGCTAAGATCGTGATAGACTCACATCTAAGCTATTTTATTCTTAATAGTCGTACTAGACTTTTTTTTATTATTTTGAGTGGCGAAACCTGTGAAACCAATTATGGTCACCATGCTAGCTTTTGTTTGTGGTTTTTACACCAACCATTGTAGTTCAGTAGGATCAAGTTACTTATTAGATTGCTCACCCTAATTGTAAGAAATCTCCATAAGTTGATATGTGTGATGACACATCAATTGTTTAAGTAGCTTAGTTGTGTTTGAAGTTGTTCACTTGTTTATCAATTGTTTATCCATTGCTCCTTTGAATATCAATTGTTTATTCAATTGCCTTGATGATTTTCAGTTGTTCATTTGTTAATTGCTCATGAGTTGTTCAGTTGATTATTGTCAATTGTTAAGTTATTAATGATGTTGAAGTTATGGTTATGTTTTTAAGTTGAAAAGCTAACATGTTGTTTTAAGTTGTTTATGTTGCTAAAGTTGTTACTTTCTTATATGATATTATGTTATTTTCTTTAACAAGTTCACCCTTTCTCTTCCATGTTGTTTGATTGCAATGATCTTATATTGTATTTGATACAACATTTGTCTATAGAGATGCTTGATCGACCCAAGAGTTGTATTTTTAGTATGGTTTACTTGATACATACATACATATATATATATATATATATATATATATATATATATATATATATATATATATATATATATATATATATATATATATATATATATATATATATATATATATATATATATATATATATATATATATATATATATATATATATATATATATATATATATATATATATATGTGTGTGTGTGTGTGTTTTGTGTTTTTAGTATGGTTTACTTGATACATACATACGCGTGTGTGTGTGTGTGTGTTTTGTGTTTTTAGTATGGTTTACTTTTTGTGTTTTTAGTATGGTTTACTTGATACATACATGTGTGTGTGTGTGTTTTGTGTTTTTAGTATGGTTTACTCTGTGTGTGTGTTTTGTGGTTTTAGTATGGTTTACTTGATACATACATACGTGTGTGTGTGTGTGTTTTGTGTTTTTAGTATGATTTACTTGATACATACACTACAAAAAAAATAACCTATGCCTACAGACACTTTTACCTATAAACTTGAATTAGTGTAGGTAAAACTAAAAAAAAATTTACCTACAAATGTTTAATGTAGGTATAATTCAAAAATCTATACCCACTTTTGTTTGGTGTAGGCAAAACTCAATACAACTCAATGTTCTTCTACCAACAAATTGTCAATGTACACTATAAAAAATTATGGGTTTTTTTTTTCTGGCCGTTTCAAAAAACTGCCACAAAATATTATAAGGAATGATATTTTCGACGGGTTAAAACTGCCACAATTTTTAAATACCTATTTTACCTTTTTATTATGTCACAAGTGGCAACCATTTTTTTATATTATTTTTATAAAATTAAAAGCTTGTTGAAGCTGGAGAGACGTTGGTCTATTCACACAGGCACACAACCAGAGCAGAGCACCCATCCATCCGTAAACTTTGGCTCTTTTAGAAAGAGAAAAAAATAGACCTCCCTTGATCTGGGCGGGATCTAAAGCAGCATTTCTTCCAAATGTTTCGAAGGCATTCC